ACTTACGCGAATGCCATTTGCACAAAATTTTTATTGATTTTTATATTACAGGTAAATTAAAAATATCCCATTGAAAATTTTTATTAAACTTATACCAGCGTGGCGTGACAACCGGGAAATCCCACATGACAATCAGTTTTTCACATATGGCAGAATACTATATAGTCCTTTGCTTACGCTCTGGACAATTAATATCGAAACTTCTTCATATTGCTGAATTTGGAATGACAAATCTAATCAAGAAATTTTTAGGATGACTCCTTATATAGGTCCAGAACTGTTAAATGAAAAACCACATACTAGCTCTAGGATTTTATAGCTTTGCGTTTGTACGAAATTGTAATTGGTGAACGATTTGGTGAAGTCATAATCTTTATCTTGTAGATGACATCTATAAAGGAGTTCGACCTATGATACCAAGTAATGTTCTCACATGGTGTAAATTTATTAATGAAAATATTGCAATCTTATATTCCAGAAAACGACAACTACTGAACTTCGATACTTTCTCAAAACGGATACATTTACAAGCCAATACGCATTTATCCAGGTTTTGTCGATCCTGGAAAACTGGAAAATCCTGCTGTAAGAAAGTTAGGTTAAAGGTGAAGTTAGAGTTAAGATGAAGATTATACATAAAATTGCCTTTCTGACATTTTTAATTAACTTATTTCATATTTTTTTGTGTCAAATTTGGTTTGCCGGGTTGATCGAAAAATTTATCAGAAACCATGCACCAAATACAGTATCCTCAAAAGTATTGCTCAGTTCAAAATTATATAGTAAAACATATAAAAAATGAAAATTTTCAAGCTATATACATATTCATATTTTTTCTAGTGAGTATTTCTAAATTTTATATCATTTAAAGCCCATGAATTATATTTCTGAAAAAAAGATATAAGACTGGAAATAATTTAAAATGCAAAGACCGTTTTTGATTGTAAAGTAAAAAAATTTTCTACGCTTTACGTCGTATATATAAAAATGGAAAATTTTCATGCTACAATGACTGCCAAAAAAATGCATAGGATTCAAATCTATTAATAAAATATAATAAAATTGAATTTAAAAAATTTTGTATAATTTTGCAATTAGAACAATTCTTTAGAATATATACTTTTATTTTGATATAAAAATAAAAAAGATTTATAAGTAATATAATAAATTTTAATATAGGGAAAATTTCAACCTTATTATTTTTATTAATAAATTTGACCTGATGGTGATGGCCATTGTATATACATATTTATTCATATTCATATTTCTTTTTGTAAATATCACTGACTTTTACACCATTATAAATTTTTCAAAAAAAGGTTCTTATCTGTATTCTCTGTGAGAGACTTAAAAAGTAAGAATTATTTTAGATATAAATTATGAAAAAATACTATATATTTTACTATATAATTTCTAATCGGGCGATACTTTGTGAGGATACTGTACTTGTATTTTTCACTTTCCTTTTGCTATGTTTTACAACTTACATAATTACATGTAGCATTTACTGTTATAGTTTATCGTTATGTGTTATAACGTCAATACGGCGCATTGCAGCTCTAGGCCTTGGTTGAAATCAGGATTGCAAACAAGGATGTAATCCGAAATGTCCGTAATTATTACTTACGAACAGCAACTTTCATGAAGGTATATACATCTCGGTTTCAATTTAAATTTTTATCCATCATCAAGAGTTTACAAAAAATTTCCTAAAGAAAATATATTTGACAAACTGTTAATGTAATGTATTTCATTGCATTTTAATATAATTTAAAATTTTGAAAATTTCCTCCATTAAATACCAATATTTGACAACGCATATGCAATTTAATTTCATATAGATGTAGAATATAATAAAATTATTCAACAATTTAAAAGTACAGTCCCACCCTTGTCAATATGATATCGTCTGTGCAGAAACTTTGGTAATATTTATGAAATGCCATAATGTAGATATACAATTTAAAAAATAATGCAATTTAACATGAACATATAAATGAGTGAAAAATTATAATACACATGTGTTCATAAGAACTAAACAGGCCGTCGTTGTTCGAATGGAACACCAGCACGCCAGCAAGGATGTCATGTTAACAAGAGCTGATTGTACTAAAACTTATAACTATAAAAATAAAACAAGATATTCAATTTTCTTTATCGAGAGCCATTTACGAAATGAATTCGGCGTTATCACGCATGTGAGAATTTGTTTTTCCTATCGAAGCTTTCATTAGTAATTAATTTGTATCCATTTTTCCTTATACGTACCACTATTTATTTATTCGGAGCTGGAATGCCGAAAAACTTTTTTTCCTTACCATATGATTTTGCAGTACCGAACAAAAACAATATCGAATACACTTTCTTTTGATGAACATGTTGTTGCGATAAAATACTTTTATTGTTTTTGATTTTTTTTTGATTTTTTATACTCATAAAGATACAAATAAAGAATATAAAATTTGAAAATTAATAGATAAGTGGTAAAAAATGAAATCAGAGAACTTTGAATCAAAAAGTAGAAAAAGAAAAATTTTGATAGATTTCGGGATTATATTGTAATTGAGCTGGTGAAGTTAAGACCGAAGAAGAGAATGCTGAGGAAGGTTGTGCATCAATTAGATTATGCACCTCGTCTGCTTCTTTTCTTTTTTTATCCTGACGTCGATCAGGCTCGAAAGGTTGCTTTGGATCAGCGGCTTTGTTTAAGTGCGTGAAAGATTGCGTATCTTTTATTTTGAAAGAAAAAAATGCAATTAAGTTAGATTACGATTGGTTCGATAGAGATGAGGAGCATTTATTGTGAAAACAAAACAATTTAAACTATAGCAATATTGCGTCATCAATTTATTAAAGTATTTATACCATTAGGAACCAAATAATTACGTGGTAGTGAAAAATAATCAATCGAACCATCATTTGAATTGAACAAAATTGATAATTGAGAAAAGTTCCCATCGTTCATGTGGTTGTTTTCTGACTGAAATGATCTTACTAAATATTGATCTAAAAAAAGAGATGCTTTTAATGATAGTTGAAAGTTTAAAATTGAGCATTTTCGACAAAGTCAAATTGCTTGCCTTCAGTGACTATACAATTAATATTAGGTTCAGAAATTTTGGAACCAAAAATCCACGATCCATTGCTTGAATTGGAAGAACTTGGAATTGATAATGGAGGCAAGGCTTCAGAAGACGGGCTCAATGGAGAAGATAAAATGCTTACCGAATATTGATCTAGCAAAAAGACATGACATTTACAAAAATGAAAATTAAACTTAAACATTATTAATTAATTAAGCTGCTTACCATTGGGGACCATAGAATTAGTAAAAGATAATGTTGAAAAAGGTGGTGTTGAAAATGAACCAGAACGAAACGAATCACCAGTTGAATTGAACGAGTTTGAAGATGATTGTGCAGAAAATTTGTTATGGGATTCAATGTCTTCATTCAATTTAACATTGTTATCGTTTTTAGTTGGATTGTGCGGTGGCGGAATTGCGATAGGACCAGTATTTGGCATATTAAGTTTCTTAGACTTTCTTTTATCTTTTTTATCTATTTTTGATTCTACAAATTGAAAACGGTTCCATGATTCGCGACTACGTTTAGATAAGTCCTTAAATCTCTTTTTAACATCTTCAGTTGCTACCGCCCATAATTTCTTCGCCCGAGATGAGATCTCTGGCACGTTAACTCCTTTGATTTCGTCTTGGAGGTTACATCGAAATAACATGAAACTATTGAGTGGTCTTTTGCCACGAAAGCACTATAGGTTGGATATACAAAAGTGTAAATTTTATTGATATTAAGAATGCAATATTCATAATACATGTTACCTCCGCTTTATTTAGAATACGAAAATCAGAAATTCGCCCATTTAAGTTGCAAATAATCTTACTAGAGTCTAAAGGATCGATAACACATTTGTAGAATTCCTCGGAATTTGACATGATAAAATGATTCAATAATATAAAGATGAAATAAAAAAAATTTAAAAAATAGAATTAAATAAAAATACATTTAAATTATAATTTTTCTTCATGCATATGATAACATATGCGATACCAGATTCCGTGAAAAAGCAAAACTGAGCGCACAAATGCCCTTTTTATAATGAAGTAACATGCATTGCGCATAACGAGGTAGGTCATTCGATAACGATAATCACAATTGATCCCGTGTACAGGTACATGTATTACGTGTCATTATTTCTGGCAAGTTACATGTACAAATTTTGGTCAAATGAATTTTTTAAATTGCCTATGTAAATTGTGTAATAGACATGGATTATGTATTTTTTAGTAATAACTATTTTCATTTATCTAGACTTATAAATGAGCCATTACTAACCATTTAAATGCAACGTATGAAATCTAACAGACAATCATTATCTGGCACATGATTAATGGAAATCCATCTGGTTAAGTTTTACATGTACCTGGAATTAATTAACATATTCTCCATTTAGTAATGTAGTTCGCGTATCAGATTTTATAGTACATGTAAAGCATATATTCGATACTACCATTCGTGTGTACTTACGCGAATGCCATTTGCACAAAATTTTTATTGATTTTTATATTACAGGTAAATTAAAAATATCCCATTGAAAACTTTTATTAAACTTATACATATGTTTAAGTGTTTTGGGCGAAATATTCGAAACATTTCGCCATTCGAGCCCCGAACTCTAATTTGGAGACTAAACAAGTTTCGCTCGAAACATTCGGCAGTCATGTATGAATTAGAAAAAGTTGATTAAGAACTTGCGCCGTAAAAATCTTTCTAGCAATGTTTCGAAAGAATTCTTCGTCTATTGAAGATGGTTTTGCCATACGGACTTTCCTTTCTTAGTCATATTAATTATCATTGACAGTTTCATTCAATGTTTGCCTTTTTAACATATTGCGTGACATTAAAATGCGTAACGTTACTAAAACGATTGTTTTACGTCATCCATAGACTTTTAGAAAGGCAAATATTTCGACATAGCATGGCTATTAGAGAAATATTCGTTTATGTTATTATTATTGTATTCCATACTATTTTTAAAATATATAATCTGTGGGAAAAGTCGGATTTGAGTCTATAAATTATCTAGGGTGCTTAGGAACTATATTTATAGCGGTAGTTCATTCAATTTTTGCCTTTATCGATTTGTGTAATGAGTAACGGTAACGTTTCATCTGTAGATTGCCAATCGCTAACTATAAAATGCAAAATTTTTCGATAATTAGAAATACTCTTTATGTTACGTATCATAAACACATTATATTCTATATTATTTAAAATATATATTTCCGGAAAAGTTGGCTATTTGGTGAACTAATCTAATGCAGTCTGGTCCTGTTGATACCCAGCCTCCTCATTGATACCAAGAGGTTTCAAATGATAATAAAATTACATGTATTTACACTAAACCCGCAGTTATAACCCTTAAAATATCACGATCCCATAATGTTGATAACAAAGAGTCAGACATTAGCTAGTATTTTTTCGTGTTTACAAGTAAAACCACTCTACACATGTGCGCACACCTTTTAAATCACTCTCTGGCTCTGTCCCAAGCTATAAAATTTTGAATCTATAAATTACATAGGGTACTTAGGTACTGTATTTATACCTCGCTGCTATCAGCATTATATATTTGAGGGTTGATAACTGCGGGTTAGGGTTAATATATTTAACCTATTATCATTTGAAATTAATCAATTTTGCTAACAACAGGGTGTTGGTAATAATGAGGTTGATATCAAAATAAGGGCAGACTGTATATGATTTTAAATCAAATTGATGGAGTACAATAATTTGAAAAATTCGTAATAGGAATGCCAATTCCGAACTATAAATTAATCCGAATTCACAAATGAAAAAATGACGAATGAATGTCACGCGGTAGTCAAATATAGAAAATCATTTTTAGGATTCAACTATGAGGGATGTATCTTCTAGCCTTTATTTACTTTTTTTTCCCTTTTCTTTTTTCATTTTGTCGTTTCTTTATCTGGTAATTAGTATTTTGACAATCAAGAAGAGAGCGAAACTTTCGGAGTCAGAATTGAGTTATCACATCATCGATGTGAATAGTGGCCTAGAACAAAAGTTGCCGAAGCTTACCTCCCTCTACTCATTGTAAAAATTAAAAACAAGAAATTCGGAAAGCCCAGAATAGCCTAGACTTAACTCATTGTTTAGTTACTATTTATTTTTATTTTATTTTTGCCATTTAATTCTTACATCTAAAAGATTATCTAACGGATAATCTAGAGATAATAAATCAATAATATAATAAGATAATGATATTTATATATATAAAAATAACTATTTAATTATTGCTGCATAGAATTGAAAGTAAAAGAAAATATGGATTCGCTATAATTGTATGAAAAACTCAAAGAAAAATGACGAATAATTTAGTTGGTTCTTCAAGATCGCGGAAACAAATAAAAGTTTGCATTAGAAAATTGTAAACATCTCTAAGCTATTAAAAATAAAAAACATATTTCAACAGAACATACGAAAATAATTAGGAAAAACGAATTAAAAAAGAACAGATTTTTCGAGCAGAACATTCGAAGCGAATAAAGAAAAACAAAAGTTGAACAGAACATTCGGGATTATAAAAATAATTAAATTTAAACGAATATTTACGATTATTTAAAACAACTCGTGTAAAAATAAGCAATTAGATTTTGAGTTTTATAATTTATATCATAAGAATATGAAATAGAAAAAATATCAAATCCGCATAATGTCAAATTCTCCATTAAAATTCATTTGTAGTATTTCCATATACGTGTACATGTATTCGTTAGTTGACAAAACGGGATCGCTGATAAATTCTTGGCGTATATTTATAGAGTTATCCGTGTAGGACAATTGATTTGTATCAATCATGTAAATGGTATTGTTATTTACATTGTTTTCCGCACAAATATCGAATTTTTCCGGGAGCGTACCAAGAGTCGAATCATTCACAATGGGGGGTTCGGACCCAAAGTATCCCGAGGTTTCCGAAAAAAAGGCGTTATCGTTGTCTTGGGAATTTTTATCGATTATGTTAACGTGATTTTCCATTGAGTAACTTCTGCTGACGCTAGAGAGGTTATCAGCAGCATGGTATGATGCGGTCTCGAAATTTTGCATCCTATTTGTATCGATAGGGCGTCGAGAGTTGCCATTAAATTTTTTATGTGCTTTCTTCATGTTCTCATCGAAAATAAAAACGAATTGATTTCTGGGCATTGTTCGTTGAACGATGATTTTCTCGTAAAGTTTTCTGAAAATGTTTTTAAATTCTCTTGGGAGTTGTTCCCAAGTTATTGTAAACAATTGGGAAACCATTGTTTTTTTTGGTTTACTCAATACGCAATCTTTTTGAATGCAGTTCCATTGTGTGGTATCGCGAGAACGTGAATGCTCTAAGATCATCCGATATAAAAAAGCACAGTTCGGGATTTTTCTTTTGTTGTCATAAAATTTATATAGCGTCTCTTGTTCACTTAGCAATTCTAATTCTAAATGGTGTATGCATGAGGAAGAAATTAATGTTAGAATAAGTGGAAACCTGCATACTAAGACCGTAATATTTCTAGACATTTTGTGCTAAGTGATAGATAACTAAAAAAAAAAAAAAAAAAGCGAAAGAACGAACCACGCTTATATATAAACATTTTTTGTCTTTCAACTATTAAGAAATGGTGGCATTTATTTAGAAGTCAATCAATGAAAGAACAGGTAGAAGATATAAAATGGAAATGAATAAACGAGGTTTCGAAGTCCGCACAAAAATGCACGCAATGAATCGCGTCATTTTTTAAACTAGAAGGTTCCTTTGCATATATGAAAGATGCACGCTCCCTTAAAAAAGAATTGAACTATATAGTATAATTGAGAATCGTCATGTTTACCTGGAATTTTAACTTCGATTTGAGTTATTGTAACAAAAATCTCATTTATTGTTTGCTATTAAAAAAAATTTCAACGCCTAAACGCATATATTTTGACGCATTTTCTAAATATAGTTGATGTTTACATCGGCTGGTATTTCGAATTAATCATATGACCGGTGAATGAGCAATTTTTTTGTATCATAGTTGCCCAATTTTTTAAGTTTGCGATCTTACAATCTCTCGAAAATGAAACATGTCAATGTACAGATCTATTTTGTAGATACAATATATTTTGGTTATGAATTCATTTATCTTTTTAGTTAAAGCGCCAAACTTTATGTGTGTGACTTTAAAAAATACGCGGGGACTTGTATTAAGATTGCGGGGATATGCTAGTATCATCAGTCTGGAACACAAATGCATAAGATGAAATATATTGAAAAATTCAAATTTTCAATATTCTTTGGTTAATAAATGATGTATCAGATAATGTCAAATCAAGATACAGACTTTCTTTCTTTAATGGTAGAATCGAATTCCTTACTGATTCTCATTATTTCATTGTGATTAACTATGGAAAATCAGAATTCCTTTTCAGCTTATTTTTAGAACCCATAATTTTGATTTTAAATCGATACATTTTACAATTGAATACTAATATTATATTAAATTGTGACTTTCATGAATTGTTATCGATGAAATCTCCTATTTTCGGTTTAGCATGGAATGATATGAGACAGTTATTTAATCTTAAGTAAAAAAGGTATGTTAAAAATGATATCAGATAACATAAAACGATTCAAGAGAAGAACATATGAAATTTTTTAGAAAGAAACGTTAAAAGTTCGATGTAACACGTAAAGACGAAACACGTATGATCGACAAAATTGCAGCAGTAATGTTCTTTTGAAACAATGCTGATTCTACATTATGCAGACATTGTTTAGACGAATAAAAACCTTATTTTGGCGGGGATTGCAAGTTTGTCTGAGCTTTTGGCGCGAACGCAAAACTGATTTAGCTTTTGGCGGGAAAGTATAACGATAGGGATGTGTTAAATATGCAAGAAATGTCTATATGCAGTAAATCTTTTTGACATGACCGATTGCGAAATGCATAGTATAACTATTGATAATCAACTCTAATCTTAAAAAGTAAAAAATGTATCAGTGAAATTTATTCAACACATAAGAAACATTTAATTTTTTCTCCTCTTTCCCTGGTTTTATAATTGTAATGGATATTTTCGTAACTGTCAAGGGAACTAAATTAAATGAAATAAGGTACATCGATATTTTTCAATTTTGGATAATTCCGATCGCTTAACGTTAATAATTTCCTAATCCATGTACATCTCGATATACGTTGTACGTAAAATTCTATAACAGAGATACACATGACATGTAAAACGAATCGATATATACGTGGATATGCACGCTGATATTTGCAAATAAACTAGGACAAACAATTTAACAATGATGCCCGTAAGTTTCAAGGGGGGGGGGGGGAATTATACTTATGTACATGCAGAACAAAGATAAATTTTCTTCATTAATTATTGCATTCAAATATCTAAACTTGCATTGCGTCACTTTACATTAGAACAATTGCTTGATTCTTTCTAATCCTTAATCAGAAGATCGAATATACATTCATAAGATACTATTTTTGCATTACTACGCAGAATAAGTGAGTGTTTAAGTACTTTTTAAGAAATAATGTCAAACTAAGACAAGCATTCTTAAATAGAATTCTCGTATTTTGATTAGACTATTGTCTGCATAGCACTACAAAATAAGTTTTCTAGTTTAGGGATTATGTGAGCAATGTGCAACTTAATTATTGTATTTCATGCATGTGCTTTTATTTATAAATGAAAATTTTTGCTTTCTCTACTTGCCTAATAAAAAGGTGCACTTATTTATTAGATAATGTGACATGGTTTTATTAGATAAATGTGAGCACCCGCCTTTTCAGGAACACTTTATTTATCTTTAATCCTATAAGAATTCTTGGCGAAGCGTAAAGAAAATAATCATCCTCATAGAAAAATCCAAATCACAATGAAATTTTATATACATGCATAACAATACTCTTGCTAACCATAATTTAAACAACCTCTGCTTCTTTAAATCAAAAAGCATCCGTTACAAGTAAGCTAAGAGGGAATCCCGGAAAAAGAGTGCAGACAACCTCCTCCTTTTATGTTACAATTGCGCCTAGCGCAGAATCCGAGAACTTCCGTACTGCCGATATTGATAACAAAGCGTTAATAGCTCACCTCTTCTGTTTCAGACACGTATCAACGAATTAAAAATTTTCACCTTTTTTCTGCTATTCATTCTTTCATTGACATATTTAGCAAAGGCGGTGTTATATTATCCTCTAGACTGATTTAGTTCGTGTCGGATTTAACGTTTTTCCCATGAGATAACAGTTGTGCTTCACTGAGTCACGTACGAAAGACTGCTGTGACATCCAAGTTTGATTTTAACTAGTACATTACAATTAGATTATGAGAAATTGCACCTGCAGGGAAAAATAAACAAGCTTTCACTTCTTTTTTATGCGTCTCATTTGATCAGATGTTATTGAGTAAAATCATTTATTGGTCACATTATCATTAATAATTACAAACGTGAAAATACATATATAGAGAGAGAGAGAGAGAGAGAGACAAAGAGGAGTAGGATAAATTTTATATACAAGTCAGCTAGCTATATATATAATATTGCTTTTATTTAACGTTAATATGGCAACCATTGACTTTTCCATCAAAGTAAATTATCAACCCCTGGCTGTCATAATAATAACTTCATCATGTATTCACTATTTAAAAGTCGACTTGGTAAGCGAAGAAAATAGTTTCCACATATTTCACAATACCGGTAAAAAACCACCAAACTTCGCGATGTTATATCGTATGTCGTTGGAAATTTCGCGCGCCCGCTACAGAGACAACTGGACTTGTCATAAGGATAATTGTATATTTAGCATTTCGAACGCGCAAGCAAGAGGGAGAGTTTCACTTGTTTTTAAGAAGACATGGAAGAAACTACCACGAGACTTTCATGACATTTTTAAAAATCTATACAAGAAAATGCTAGAACAACGTGCAAGACCGCGAGATTTTAAGTTTGTATTTGAGACTCGTAGCGAAGATCTTTCCAATAATGACGAGAATACTTCGTATCAAAACTTTGGGACCTTGAATGATGACAACACTTCCTCACCAAACACAAGTTGTTCGATTCCCACTTCTCATAACTCTCAGATGATAAATAATTCATCTCATTATAATATTGGAAATGTTGCCAATAATTATGAGATAACAAAATTCTTTGTCCCCATCAGGTCCCACAGCTTCGAGGTTGGTCCCTTTGATGTTTTGGATTATACCGTCGCGAATTGTGAGATAAATAGATTCTTAGTACCCATCTGGTCCCAAAACTTTGGGATTGACCCCTTTGATTGCTTGAATTGCACCTTACCAGATGCGAGTTTCAGTAACAGCGGATCCAACACTCAGATAAATGATATGGTTGCCTCAACTAATCACATTGTTAGACCCGTGATAGTAAATAACGAGAGTTCAATCGAGAATGATTATGGTAATAAAAATATTGAAATGATTCACAACAACCTATCAGATACATTCGACATTTCTAACCCCCAATTTCCAAGAAACTTCGAACAAAATTCAATTAACCATCTTCAACAAAATTTCTCTTTGGAAGACATTCTAAATTATGAATCGTACTTGGATAATAACCACACTAATTAATTTTAAGAACTTATGATATACGTTCTCCTTTTTCTATACATATAAGCCAAAATTATGCCTTTTCTTTTCGGTTTTTTAATTATAAGCGTGCCATATAATATTTAAAATAGAATATATTTATTGACTTATTTATATATTAGTAATATCCTTGCGAATACATGTAGTTATATATAAGCATTATTATAAATCATAAAAACTAATTATAGTCAATATATAGATTAAAATTTAGTCAACTAACAATCAAGCGATTCACGCATCTCATTTTGTGTTTCAAGAACCTCTTAGAAAAATCACCAATTAGAGAGAATCATTTATTTAGAACAAAAAGTAAGTTACCAAAAATTTTGAGGTAGCACTACGTTACATTATTTATTACTTAATCTGATTGATACTCCGTAATTACTTCGATACTGAACTTGATTTTGGCTGAAATTAATAAATTTTACTTTGTTAAACTTAAATAGCTATTCGCTTGCGTCATTTTTTACTAATCACTACTTTATATCAGATTGAGCTATTTAGATTGGAAGCTTTATCGTGATCTAGCTTCCCTTCCAACCTTCACAAAACTCGGAAGTAGTATTTTAATCAAATCTCATTGACATTTTAGAACTTCAATTTTAATACCATGTACATGCACATGTGCATGTATTTTTTTATTATGCGTAATTATGTCATAGCATTTACAGAATTTGGAAAAAACCAGCAGCATTATTTAAGTAAGAAGATTTGCAGACCTTTTGTCTAAAACAAAACGACATCTCTGTTCTAACGACAAAAGCCAACAAATAAGCTGACGATATTGCCGAAGCTCATATAGTATTATATTCTCTTATTGGAATATAATGCTTCCAGCTTACAAATACTATAGTTAGCCTACAAGCTTTATGACTTTTTTCTATGTATTAGTAATGATTTTAGATATTTTGCGTGCTTTGTCACAAGTAAAATTTTTTTGGTCAAATCAACAAGAATGCGCGAATTTGCCCGGCGAAGCAATTTAGTACAAGAAATAAAAAATCAAAATCTGGCTCGGAACACTAATAAAAATGTTGTGACGGAAATTTTACCTATAGTCACCATGATAACGATTCCCACACGAGCCACTTGTCACTTTCCATTCACGTACGTGAATTAAAATATTTGTAATATAGTTTTGAACTTCTTTATCGCAGAAATTACGCACGCACGCTTTTCAAAAAATAACTTTATTTTTATATCGAGGATTTCTGATACATCATAGTAACTCTCTTTAGCATTTTGTAATATGAAACATCAAGTTCTAATGAATGAGTTCTTTCAATAAATCATTATGTAGATACTAGCTTTTTCCCACAGTTCTTTCACAATATTTACCATTGAAAATTTTTAATTTGCTTTATTTACTCGAGTGTTTGTAATACAGAACAAAATATTATAGCTGTGCATTGTTTCTTTTTTGCTCATTCACTAAATCCTCTTTTTAATCTCAGTGATACATGTACGAAACCGAAATATCGTTCGGCAAAGAATATTTCCGTGATGCGGATTTCCATAAAACACTCTATACATGCATGTTGCTGCATATTGTTATCAATTGATGTGTTCCAGTACATTCTATATTAACACTATTTAAGGTTAAAACGGTTCATAATATATGCATAACGATAACAATGCAAATTTTCTCTCCCCATGTAGATGATGATTTGCGTTTAAAGTTAAATTTGAATGCCAGTAATAAAAGGTAAAAAAGTCATTGTTTCAAGATATAAAGGGAATCAAGTTCCACCGTTTCATGCCATCTGAATGCACGTCCCAATTAGAACCATTATTAGCTCATAATTACGTCATTCAAGAAAAAATAAAAATTTCGATATAATCATCGCATCCTTTGTTAACTTAGAAATAGGAACTGTATTTTATTGCATCAAATATTAATATTTTTAGCACCTGGAAAATGGAAAATGATCATTTTAGCCAAATAGTGCTAATTTAAAAAAACGTGTTTTTCAAATCAAGTATATATTAACGTGGTACTAAATTTAGAAATCACTAAAAACGTAAGTGGCGCTTAATATTAGCGTTAGGTGTTGCTTAAAATCGATGGTTTACAGTATGCTAGGAAAATATGAAAACATAGCGGACAAAAGAAACCTAGCTCACCCTACCCATAAAAATTATTAATTCTAACTTGATGTATCCCTCATCCCTCAATGACATTATTTTAGTAATAATGGATTTATTATCTAAGCGTTCTTAATTATGCAATCAAGGATGGTGAAATATTCTAAGCATATAAAACATGAATTACGTAATCCGATAATTTGTAATGTGAATTATGTCAATTTCAATATGCCCTACAGCTTACCTTACAAAATTTTGCCACCACATGGTTTTTAGCGCGGCACAGCAAGATATGAGATTGATTTTTGCATTTTCAATCAGCCACATGTGCCGCAAAAAGGTGGAACCATACTTTAATGTTTACAATGGACCAAAGTTATCTGTGTTTGTAGTACATGACTATGCACACATAAGCACCCAAATATTTTCACGATGCTTTTGATAGTTGCTAATTTATAGTGCATTTTCGTGTTTCCCGCACATTCTTAATATCCCTTCACCTCAAAATTATTAAAAAGTCAATATTGAATTAGTGCAATATCTCCGGCTGTTGACATCTTGCATAGCGATAGTGCGACATTAAAATTAATAAAATTGAATGCAGTCAAAACTCTAATTTTATTCAAAACAAAATACGTACATAATTGTACATAAATCAAAATAAAAAAACCATGAACAAAGGCAACGCGGATAAAACCGAATCAATTTATTCGAAGCACAAATTTTAATTTAATCTTGGATAAAATAAATAAAGTTGGTTCCATGAACAGCTTTATTTACACTGCAGCTGGTAGGTGCAAATTTTCTGCTAATAGACCTGACCACTTTTAATAATTACTAATATCACACGCACGACAGCTTAATTTTAATTCCATCCTCCGCTTACAGCAACAGCAAATAAAAGCAAAACAAACTTAAACCTGTTCTTTTCTCTCCGACATTGACATAAGGTTGCAAATGAGAATAGACGTGCCCTCCTTTAACTGTATGCATATTAAAGTGCTGCATACTTAAACCCGACTTCATGATTATCCTTATCTCTTTTTACACATCGTATAAGGTTTCCATAAAAGCTTTATTCCCGTTTTTCTATTTAAATTAGATTCGGTTTTTTTAATTAAAAACATGCGCACACGACTTGATAGTTTCGAACGATACGAGTTTCCCAGTCAATCATCTGATACGGTTATGTAATTAATTAGTGCTAGTGAGATTTTCGCATAATTTTTTATTTTGTAAATGATCGATATATGATGAATAAGTTGTAATCATACACACGAGTAATCCCCCAACATTTCCATTGAATTACGTAATGAACATGACGCGGAAAAAATGAAAATCATGATAAAAAATAGTTATCACCGTTTTTTATGATCATTGTTGAAGAATAAAACAGTTTAGACTCGTAACGTAAATTCATATTAATCATACGGCACCTAGCATTTATGATTCTAAATTCAGCATCTTGATTCTACCAATTTGTACTAATCAAAAAGCTAAAAAAAAATTTTAGACATTAGAATTTTCTACGTGATGTTTATCACCACTATTTACTGTTGATGCTAGCTACTAAGTTTATTGTAATTATTAGTGTGTTGCTTGGGCACCCCCCCCCCCCCCCCCTTTTATTGCAAGAAAATATTTTTCGTATTTCTAGTTTTTCCAGAGGAAAAATGTATGTCTATGTACGTCTCTGTATCAATGTAACGGCAACAACTTGTGTTTCCTGGCAAAAATCTAGATCTTGAGAATTTCAAAAGTCTATATTGATTAGTTTTTTGCGTCTGTTAACAAAATAAATATTGAAATTCTCCTGCATTTCACCGGCAAATGTTTTCACTCTATTTAGTATCGTGTCATTGAGGCTTTTAGCTGCATGCGGTGTATGTGTGCACGTTCTATCACCAAAAATACAAATCTTTTGATTTCTAATTACGCGTTAAATTAACGAAATGAATCAAAAAAGATACAAGTAAATACACCAGGTTATTCTTTACATAAACGGGTTCCCCGTATTGAGTTTGAACTGACATGACCCTGAGACAAAAAATGACTGCGCATACCACATATATATTCATGTACATGTACATATACACGTTAGTCATGTTTATGTACGGATGCATGACGGCACACAGTCAACATGACAAATCGAGTCATTCAGCGAAAACTTTATTATCCATATCTTTTTGTTGAAGCTCCCTTACAACAATAAATGAGATCCCACGAAAAAATATTTTTCTTTTATCATGAAAATATCCGTCCTTTGCTTCCTAATGCAGCAAAAACATTTTTGTCTGAACGTGTCAGCTGTCATCATGAATCAAGCTAGTAAAACTAGTAGTATCACGTTTAATTAACCATTATATCTATTAATTTCACATTTCAAAGAGCGCGATCAGGTCATTTTGATGGTTCTTTTGAAATGCATATATACGTAATCTATATTCCAAACTAAGTTAAAATTCAAAGAGATATAAAATGATTTGGGATAAAGTTTAAGTTTGTTAGACAAAAAAATTTCTTAAAACCTAGATCAGATGAAGAAAGTGTCATTGTTCGAAAATTAGAAATTGAGTTCTTATTTTTTTTTTAATTAATATTTAAGTTTATTATTGAAGGATCATACTCATTATTCATTAGCTTAAAAACATTCATATTAAACACTATATCAATGAATAACCTTATCTCATGCATCTATGAATAAAGAGTTGTGCAGAGAGAAGCCGATTGTGAATTACTAGATTTTTTTACGTGTGAAACATAATATTCGGATGTAACACCCCGAGTTAATTTAAGAAAACAAGAAAAAAGCGTGTGTCTGTGGTGGCTGTAATTTTATTCTACAAGAAACACGAATTAGACAACGCCACACGAAAAAAAGAAACTTAAGGCGACAAACGGACGGAATTTCTACCGAAAATCAATTCGACTAAATGGATTCTTTCAACCGATAAAATCCTTTTTTCATTCACTGGTGATTACGTATGCATGTTCGATTCTTTTCCTTCCCGCTATTTCCATTTCATTCTGTTTCGAAAAAAAGAGAAGAAGAAACGGGGGATGATGAAAGGTAAGCGAATGTAGAGGCGGTGAGGAAGAGAAAAAAGCGATTTATTCTAGCCTTATTTCATTCATAGCCCTTATTATTAGTAAGGCTATTATCATTTGTTTCATCTTGTATATTATGCAGGGATGCGTTTGTTATACATGTACCAGCTGTACATCAAAAGGTCGTACCGAATATGTTGTTTATCAAATTACTCTTATATTTCCGATTACATGTATTATTATTATTATTATTATTATTATTATTATTATTATTAGCTTGGCAGATTCTTAGTTATACGTAATATTAGATCTTCTTGTTAATTCCTTCCTCTATGCTATTAGTCGTAAAAGAGAGTATTTAGTGTGTATCACCTGATTGTCATTACCCCACAAATAAATAAACTAACGATAAAATATATAATCAATAAAGAATAAATAAGCTTACAAAAAAAGATTAGGGCCAGAGGAAAAATATTTATAAAAACCCAAAAGCCTGACGTTTAGAAAGTCAGCGAAAAATATTTTTTTTTATTCCCTCATTAAATAAATTCACACGTTCATTCATTTCACACATAACGAATCCCTTCACCCACTAATTTCCGTCTTTTTATATTTCCAAATTTTTTTCGTTTTTTATTCATCAACAACACATACATACCAACGATTATCAACTTTCACGACGACAATGCAGTCAACCGCGCAACAAGAGTCTGTCCAAGGTTTACGACGACAACAACAACAAAAGAATAATGAAACTAAAGCTGAATTGCAGATAGACGGAGCAGAGGTAAAAATAAGTCATATAATGTTCTTTTATTTAATACATGCAAAGGACCCCTTTCTTTTTCTGAGAAAATAAATTATTTTATTTAATTTCATTATTGGAAACCTCGTTAACAAGCAGTATGATCGGGATCTAATCTCAGTGAGTGCATTTCCTTAACGTGTCAAAAATTGATAATACCTTGTTATATTAATTTATCGTTTTACAGCATTATCTTTTCAAAGGCGTCATTGGAGGTAACTACATGAGTCCAATCAAAGCGAATAATATGAAGGTAAATTAAACTTCAGATTTTTGAAGTGATTATACTCATAATTTAGCTGGCATTATATTAACAAATGTTTACTTTCATTTAGAAATGTCTCGAAGTCGGGTAATACGTTAATTTCATGTTATTCTAATATTTAAGTAATATCTTATTTCCATTTATGGTTAATCTTCTTCTAATGATAGATTTGGATGTGGCATCTGGATGATGGAAATGGCTAGGTATAATAAGATTGTTTGTTCTTCATAATCTTTGCTATAAAACCTCTAAATTACATATTGCTTTTTACTATGCAGCGAGTTCCCAGAATGTCAATTCTACGGTATCGACCTGAATCCAAAAACACCAGAAAATACTTATCCCGATAACTGTAACTTTCTTAAAGGAGATTTTACTGGTAAGTTTTAATATTCGGTAATCGAAATCGAGAAAAATATTTTAGTACATTTATTTGTTGCATCTATATTTATCATTTCCAATTTTTTTTTTCTATTTTGAATAGATGGGCTTCCATATGTAAGTCATACTATATTATGTTTTATGTTCCAACAATTCAAAAGCCAATCATTTATATTAATAATACTTATCGTCAAATCAGCCTGACGAAACATTTGATCTGGTGCATGTAAAATCTCTCTTAATGTACAAGCCGGTAGAGCACGTTCACAAGTTACTAAAAGAGATTTATCGGGTCACAAAAAAAGGTGGATATTTCGAATATAAGGTATTGTATTATATAGACATTCAGCTAGTAATTAATTCACAAAAGAAATGCTCACATCTATTTTGTTAAACAGGAACCTCTCCGAATAAAGTAAGCTACACCAATCTTATTCCCATTAAATGGTTAATGATACCAACCTTATACCAACCTTATAGCTTTGCTTCTTGTATTTTTATTAGAAACGCAGGTCCAATTCTGAACATGGTACAAGAAGGATGGGACATTTTTTTAAAAGAGCAAAAAATTGACAAGGACCTAGTGCTCTCGTTAGATCGTGTACTATTGCAACAGGGATGGAAAGATGCAGCATTAACGACACATTTGATCTCCGTAGGAGAGAGCGAAGATTCAGTAAGCATAAAAATTATTTAACTGTATTGTCTATTTTTAACATTGATCGAGCTCTAATTACAACAACTGTCGTCTTTTTGTCCGACTAGGCTTCTAATATGTTTTACGAAAGTTGGAAAAAATTCTCTGAAACGTTCTCTGACATTTTTACTACGCTCATTGAGTTTCCTCGCAAAGAAGAGTTCAAAAAGTTGGCCCGGAATGACCTTGAACCAGAATGCAAAAAGTTCAAGACTGGCGTAGAGATTGCTGTTGGATTTGCCACAAAACGTCCAATATCAACCAATTGACTGCTTGTCATATTCCTTATCGTCTTTATTTATTATACTTTACCCTTAATTTATTTTTTATTTATTCATTATACCTTATTTTAATTTCGCTTATAAAAGATTATTCGTTTTAACTATTCGTCGTCGTCATTTTTTTGTATATAATTATTTACCTTTCAAAAACAACATCTTGACTAATTTTTGCAAATTTATTTATTTATTATTCTCAAACACAACAACAACAACAACATAACTTTATTGCAAATTCTATGCTTTTCCTGATGCTCGGTATTTCTTTTGCTTGATTTTCCTTATGCTTGTTTTTATGCTTTTCTGTAAGATTGTGTACTATTTATGCGCACTCGGCAAAGCACATATAATAGTCACTCCTTATGTTTTTACCTATAAGATTTTCTACCTCTTGAATGCAAAAAATTCTTTAATAATAAGCTCATCACAAGCTTTTTCTTTCTTTTCTTATTTCTGCTCTTTCTGTTTCAGATATAATCACGCTCTCTTTTATTCTCTCTCTATTTTTATTTTATTTATCAAAGATTAATGAATTTCGCGATCTTGTGAAAGTAACATTTGCTCCATGTTGTGTATCGGCGCGCGTTACTTGATCTAGAGACTTCCGAAATTATTGTGATCAACCTTTTCTCAACTTCATATTTACTATTTTTATTATTGTTACTACCTTTTTTTTTTCAATCATATTTTTCTTTTCTGTATTAATAATAATTGATTTGTATTAATTTCCGAGGCAAAAAAAAACAGAAGGGAAACAACAGAGTTTTTTTACGTGGTTTTTATTTTTTTCGGTACCTTTGTTCAATATTTCGATGAATTTTATTTTTTTAGTCATCTTTTTCAAGTTTTAATTTTAGTTTTTTATTTTTTCTATTCTCTATATACATTTTTTTTATTTATTTTATCTTTATTAATACATTCACATTTGAGAATTGTCCATTCTGTTTAGTCACCAAACTATTTTATCTGAATCTGTGGCAGGACCCATTTTCATTCTCGAATACTGCAATGAATAAAAAGCAACTCAAAAAAAAGAGATTCGTACACTTTCAATATGCTTAAGTCTATTATTTGTGTATCTCGGATGTTTATTCTCTTTCTGAATCATAATTTTTATTTTCTGAGCGTGTTCTAGTGAAGAAAACTTCGCATTTTATTTCCTATTTTCTAAATTACCGTATATCCTCGAAAATATGCTTTAACCCCAAAAAAGCTACGCCCATTTCTTTTTTCAAGGTTAAAGCCATGCAAAAAAAGGAATAGCTTATTTTGGAGCTTATATTGAAAATCCAAAGTAGACGTTTTATACTTAAAAAACAAAACAAATGTTCGATATCTTGGCAAAAAGAAACATCAAATCTAATGAAATTGATTATGATACCAATAGCTAATTTTGAAGATGATCAATCATATCAGCTTGAATGATCATTATGTATACAGTATATATAAAGATGTAGTCGAAACAGAAACAAATAACTTTATAAATCTAAATCCTTTCTATTCAAGCCAGAAAAGTAACTCGTTGATTTGATGCTTAGTTTCTATTTGCTAAATGAAAATGTTTTATAATAATAAATCAATATTTACTGTGATCGCAATTACATCTTCGATCATGTCGTCAACATACTCTAAGCTAGATTCACCTGGCATATCATTACCAAATCTACCATCACTAAATCCCAACGAAGGCGGCGGATTGGGTTCAATCGGAGCAGGACAAGCACGACCCAAAAAAGGTGAATTCGATCCAAATTTTCCCTGGGAACGTGGTCAAGTACCATGTCTTGACGTGATCACACCCACTCCCGGGACGGTTGTCAATCCTAATGACCGAATCGTGATACGTTGGCAAAAATCCGAAAACTGTACCGCGATGACACCTCTCACAAACTTTGACATAAATTTAGTCGCCAGTCCATCCGTAAAAGGAACCGTGGCGAAACCTAAAATGTCCGCCGAATACCAAACAGAAATCGCGACTGGTGTCGAAGAAATGTACTATGAATGGATTGTACCAGTTATTGGATACGGTTCCGTGAAAAATTACACAGCGTATTATATTCATGTGCAATGTGTGTCGATGGTGAATACTAAAGATGGTGAGGTTGTAGTTTTTGGAAATATGTTGGAGCCATTTACGATTACAAGGACGGCTACACAAGAACCAAAAACTTATTTTCCAATTTATACGCCTACTAAAAGCTTGGCGAATAGTAATAATTCGATGCTACCGAAAGAAACAAACGGTTCTAATAGTAGCAATGGAAAGCACTTGTCAGATGCTATTATAGAAATACCATTTATAAGGACTATTATTGCTTTAGTAACGCTTTTTCTTGGATTTTTTCTATTGATGTGATCATCTAATCGTTGCGCTTTAGTAATCTTTTTAATTCCATGTACATAATATATAAAAACTTGATGCATCGAATGTTAGCTACTAAAAAATTGATTGCGTGACTGTGCTTGCACATTATTTGTACCCATATTGTGTTTGCCTACGACATTGTACGACCTCAAAAACGAGTTCATAAACTAAATATGACTTGATTCATTTCTTATAACAAATTGTGCTCAGTTCTGATGACATGATAACCAATAAATAATCAAGTGTGTCGGCGACTATGGTGAGAGAAATTGTCTCCGACATTCCTTATTAGAGCTCAAAGTTTAGATTTTGGGTTTGATGGGCGTGTGATCAGAAACCGAGTGCCCGGAAAATTTTATTGCAATAACATTTAACGTTAAGTGTTGGTTTAAGTTAAATCTATGAATAAATTATATGTAAACTTACGTCTCGACATTTTATTAATGTTTTAAGCTAGTTTGTGTTTCTTGTGTCGGAGGTTTCGACGATCATCAACCAGCAGTCAAAGATAACATAAATTTTTAACTATCCCGGAAAAATAAATTCGACTCACATTAATCAAAATATCGATGAGGCAATTTTCCTTTATTTATTGTAACTGTTACCAATAAGGGATTATCTATATTGTTATTACTATGCCATTATCTTCGAATATTGTGATGCTGGTGATGTTCTATCCGAAATACATTTTCAGGTTCAGTACACCATTTACAAAACAAACGATCACTATTTAGGGATCAAGCACTCTACCTTCCACGAATAGATGTGATATGGGTATGGGAAATTTGCTTGTCGCACAATTTAGACAATTATAAAATTAGAGCTTTAAATTATGGCGTAAAAATCAAAGTTTAATGTGCGTAGATTACGAGTAAATTATGATGTATTTTATAGTGTACAAAAAAATCCATTGTAATGTAATTGTAATTGCGAGAAAAACGTAAGGTTTCGATTGATGGAAGGCAAAAGAGAGCCAGAGAGACCATATACAGCGCCCTAGCAGAATATTGTGGACACTTTTAAATTTTAAATATCAAACTAAATAAGCAAAATATTAAAACGAAAATAAAATTTTTGCATTCTTGCAAAGTATAGCTTTCAAACAAAAAGAAATTCTATACAGTAGTTTTTGAGAAAACTTGAATTTAAAAAATTTATAATTTTTTCATCAATACGAAAATCATAAGGAAATTATTATAGTATAAAATAAATATGCGATCTTGAACGAAATTACACAAAATTATCACCATTTGATTCGCCATGACTAGACGAATCGGATGGTGGTATTTTTGTGCGATTCCGATCACTGGGAATCGAGATATCGCGCATAAATTAAATGCATAATTAATTTGGTGCGATATCTCACACGTAATAATCATACACAAAATCGATCCGATATCTCGATCGGAATCGCACAAAATACCACCATCCGATTCGTCTAGTCATGGCGAATCAAATGATAGTAATTTTATGCGATAACGACCACTGGGTATCGAGATATCACATATTTTTCTTTCGTTTTAATACTTTATTAATGATTTTCGTATTAATAAAAAAAAATTAGATTTTTTTAAATTTAAGTTTTTTTTGAAAGCTACACTTTTCAAGAATTTAAATTTTTTATTTTTGGTTTAATATTTTGCTTATTTGGCTTTGATATCTAAAATTTAAAAGTGTCCACAATATTCTGCTAGGGCACCGTAGCTCACGGGATTTGTGTTACAACGGTAACAGTAGATGGATTTGGTACGCGGTAGTGTACTGATACCCAAACTCCCGACAAGCCACGAATTCCAAATCTTACTTATAATATTGATATTAAATTTGTAAGCTTATAAAGATATAGCAAATGTACCAATATATGTTAGCATCAATTACATAATGTTGAGTTTATGCCGTTTAATTTCGTGATTGTCGTATATCGGGATGTTGAGCATGTTGGGATTTTAGACATGTCTTAGTTTTGGTACGTCGGATTTTAGATGTTGGGATCTGGTGTCGGACGTTGCATCAGACTCGGTATAAGAGGAACAGATTGTTCTGGGGTTGATATGCGATTAGTTGTGTTCTGTCTGACAAAACCTGTGATGAAAATCACAATTCAATTTTCATATGCTGTTGTAAATAATCGAAAAACCATATTTAGTATCACCTTCAACAGTTTTAGTAGCTTAAAACTCTCCTTTTGGTTTGGTTCGAGTTAACTCTCTATAGCGTGCGACTATCCAGCAAAGTCATTCGGCTTTTGATGATCGATAGCTTTCTTGGGATCAAAAAGCAGATGAATTTCCTCGAACAAGACCAAATGTTTGATAAACTTCAGAATTGGCATCAAATACACGATTCATATTTTGATTATTCAATTCATTGAAATTAGTATTATAATTTTGAGACTTTGCAAACCAAAATATACTTACTCTTATTACATGATAGATATCTTATTCCGAATTATGCCTCATAAATAAGGATATCATTTTAATAATATGAGCTTGCTTCTCTTTTAGAATTCTTGGGCAAGGCCTTTGTCTCAGTCTGAGATTTGGTTTATGAGCTCGCGAAATTTGCTCAGATTCTTGGTATTTGAAAAATTTCTTGTAATTAGATTCAACTGAAGAATTAGTAATAAGATTGTCCTGATTTTTAGGCTTTTCAAAGAAACGATTTATACAGTGCTCGCTATATATAACGAGATCGTAGAAAAAATGTGAAGTGTACAACTAAATTTTTTTATTGATATAACATGTAAACAAAAACAAGCCTTTAAAAATGAATTTACTTAGTTTCCTAATCGTAAGATAGAAAAATCCCACTTGCTGGCTGATGAATGATTGTAAGACAACTTTAGAGCTGCGGTGTTCTAGATGTTCCAACTACAGCAGAACTATGCGATATCACTCTTTTATGGCACTTCAGTAGTAGAAAAGATAATAAATTCGACCTATTTCACAAGCACTGAAATTTGGCTCGAGTTTGCTTATTTTTGGCTGAAATTTTGAAATTTACTGTATAAATACTATTTTTCAAGAATTTCAAATCCAATAAAATTCTGTGATTCTTTACCTTTTTTATATATTGCTCAAAATTCTAGGGTGTTTCAAAGCTAACATTTTGCTAAGATCCATTTAAATACCATTCTTTAATTCAATTTGCATAAAAATTTCAGAGAAAATGTATAATGCTCTGAAATCTTTCTATTATAATTTCATTTTTTGTTCATATAATTCTAAATTAAAATTGAGATATTTAAATCATTTTATTGTAATAATAAGATAGATAAGTTTTTAATATTTATGTATTATTTGTATATAAATACTATATTTATATATTTATAAAGTTATAGTTTGAATAAATAAAGTTTATAAAGATAAACAAAAGTAATTTTGTAATAATTTTTTTATATCTGTTAAAATATATTAATTTTTTATATAAATATATTTTTAATCTTTAATTATTTAATAAAAATCTTTATATAAGCTTTTATAATTAAAAAGATTATCAAGTAAAGATATATATTGAAAGTTACAGATTTGCACAGATATATAGATTAAATATATCAATAAACTGCAAAATTTTTATAATTATAATTTATTACAGATTTGTATAATTTTGTATAAAATCTATAATTATAAATATAATTCAGTATAAAACTGCAAATATAAAAAATTTAATAATAAATAGTATCTTGAATAAATATAATTTAAATATATATCATTCTGAATACTTGAAATTTATAAAATTTATGAATTTTAAGTATTAAAAATGCTATATATTTAAATTATATTTATTTAAAATATTATTACTATTATTTATTTAAAATTTTACTAATATTTTAATAATTCTTTCTTTATTAATTAATTTAAAAATTAAATACTTAATAAAATTCTAGTCTTTATTTAAATATAAGAATTCATTATTATATTAAATATATTATATATCTCCAAATATAAGTAATTAAAAAATATTCAAGTATAAATTTATTATATTTTATATATAATATTTTCAAAATCTCAGAGTTTATAAGAGATAATTGCTTATATTTGAAAATTACTTATATTTAAAAATATATAGTAAGTTAATTCAAAAATATTTTTATTTATTTAATATAAATTAAGAATAATAATTATTAAATTAAACTTTTTTATAAATAAAAAATATATAATAATAATTAAAAATAATCTGAATCTTTATAACTTTTTAAATTTAAAATTAATTACTTAAAATTTTCAGTTTAGATAATAAATCTAAATCTTATAAATTTTTTTAATATTTTATAATTATTATAACAAAATTTAAATAAGAGTTAAATTTTAAAATTAATTATTTATATTAATAAAAAAAATCAATTAAATATAATAAAAAATAATTAAATTAATAATTTTTTTAAATATTTTTATATAATAACAAAAAATTTAATTTTTAATAATTAGTTTATTAAATTATATTAAAGTTTTATTATTATATATATTCAGTATAAAAAGTAATAACAGATATATTTTTTATCTATAATTTAATAAGAAAATTTATAAAAATTTAATATTATAGTTTTTATAATAATAAAAATAAAATTTTTTAAGATCACTAAGTAATAATATTTTATATAATTATATATTAAAAGTAATAGATCAGAGAACTATCCAATTAAAGTATTATAAAAAATTATTTAAAAATATTTTTTATAAGTAAGTATGAAAATAATTTTATAAAAATATATTAAAGATATAAAAAATATATTTATAATTTAAAAAAAATTTATATAAAATTTATTAAATAAATACTAGTTAAAAAGACTTAATTTTGATAAATTTTATAATATAATCTGATATAAAAAGATTAATATATTAGATAAATATTAA